GTTTTACACCATCACCTTATATGTAAAATGTAAAAAAAAAATAATAAAAAAATTTTAAACCCCACAACTTGGAAACTTGCCTATGAAGCACATGCTGCCTGTTTTGCAACATGTAGGAAAAACAGATTTGAAGAGCTCTCTAACAAGTGGGTGCGTATCATGGGCACATTAAAATTGTATTAATGACTGCTTGCTGACCTGAGGGATTGCTGAGTGAGATATTAGTAGAATATGCACTTGTTCCCTAAAAATATTGTAACAAACAACAGAGAACTTAAACCTGTGTTACATAATCTATGGAGTAAATATTTCATAGAATCACACAGAATCACTTGGGTTGAAAAAGAACTTCAAGATCATTGAGTACAACCATTAACCCTACTCTACCAAGTCCAGCACTAAGCCATATTCCACATCTGGATGACTTTTAAACACAGCCAGGGATGGTGACTCAACCACCTCCCTGGGCAGCCTGTTCGCTGTTACTTGTGTGCATCTGTACAGTCTCTATGCTACCCAAGAGGTGCGGACCCTCTATATCTAACCTTGGAGTTCCTACATGAACCGCAGAAGAGACATTCAGATGAAAGGGGATACATCTTAGCCAACTAGATTGTCCTGGTTTGAGAGAGGATGAAGCCAGTTTTCCTTTTACTGATTTTTTTTTTTTTTTTCCTTCAGTAAGCTTTCTTTGAACTAGTAGCAAAGTGTTCCAATTAAGGCTGATAAGAGAGGAATGTTTTTCTAACTGCTGGGTCTTCAAGGTCGCACCTTCACTCTGCTGGCTCAGACACTACAGGGAGATCTATGACCCCCCTGTAGGAGGCTGAGTTAGGCAGACAGCAAAATTGGCCAGAGATATTCCATTCCACATATCTACATAAGCTCAGAGGAAGGTCAGAGATCACAGAAGACAACTTCCTTCCTGTTTCTTCTGCCCTTCTCTTCCTCCATTGCTGGCGCCCAGGGAGGACTCCATCCATCCATCACCATCATCCCCCAGGCTTGAGCTCTCCTGACCCTCGTCACTCTGCTCTCTCTTTGGCAGCAGTCTGGAACTTTTCGGGACTATTTGCACTGCAGAAGATGCTGTGGGAGTTGCTGGGGGTGGGGGAAGGCAATAAGGGCTTTGTACATTTCCTGACCACATTTGTATATAATTGTATATATTATCTTATATAATTAGTGTTTAATTAAAGTTGTCTAGTTTAGTTTTCAATCCAGCAAAGTCTCTCTCTTTTTTGCCCTCTCTTTCTCTACTTGGGTGGGAGGGGGAGGGGATCGAGAGCGTTGTTATCAAACAGGGACATAGATCTAATATTTTAATGTGTTTAATAAATCCTGTTTAATTGGGGAAGTCAGTTCATGTATAGTTTTGTAGCTGGTATTGAAGAAAGTACATTACTGTCATATGGAGAGATGAGGTAAAACACAGATCAAAGAACATACCAGACAGAAAGCAAGTGTCTTTTTACATCATAAAGTGAAGAGGTACATCAGGATCGCATCACACAAATAAGGTACTCATCTTACTTTTCCTCCCTCTGTAAACTGAGTATTGGCAAGTGTGTGTTTACTGTTGTCTGAATATCAGTAGTATTGTTTTCAAAGCTAATTCCAAATACCTTTTTTTTACTGCTGTTTTGTTCCGGCTATCATGTACCATAAGCTATACTTTAAAAGAAGATGTAGGACACACATGGGACAATATAAAGAAGGAAGCAAGTCATTTTGCATTACCCTTAATGATAAAAATTTGGTAGGGGCTACATGTAGAGGGTATATGTGCTCCAGGGATTAGCTACTCTATGCAAACAGAGTGATGCTGAGAAGCTGAGTCATTGAGGAAATGGGGCAGGTTTTGAAAACTGATCCCTTGCCATTGACGTACATGTGAAAATATAAATGTTTTTGTTTTACGGGAATAGAACATCTTAATGAAAGGAGTCGGAAGGAAATCCAACACAATCAGTACTACACATCACATTCATTTTGGTGTGTCCATCCAAGGAACTGAACACGTACCCATTATTTTAATTGTAAATCAAGTGTGCCATTCAAACCGTATTCTGTAAGCTACTAAAAATGGTACATTCTGAGATGCACCCCTCCCACTTTCTCTCTTATTTGAGCAGGAAAATTAGGTCACTAGGTAGCAAAGACCACAACCACAGCTGTTCCTGTGCCTTCCTGTGAAAAATGAAGTCTTCTACCAGCTGAGGTTTTCACATTTGCCAACATACTGAAGGCATAAACAGACATCTCTGGGAGGAGACAGTAACATGCACAGCAGTTAGTAGACAGTTTTCTGAATGGAATAACCAACATGACTTTAAAATATGAATATTGGTCATTACAAATGCTAATACCTCTTTCTGTATATACACTCTGAGGAACTTTGCAGCTAAAGAAAAAGAATAAAATAGCAAAAGACTCTGAGACCATTCAGCAGCTTAACAAAGAAGTTAAATGCATGCATTAAATCCACTTTTTTGGAGGAGACAATTGGAAAGCATCATATTCCTTTGCCCACTTCTGGTCAGTGGTTCCCAATTGCAGGACATGTTGCAAACATTTTCAGCTTCCTCAGCTGAATTCCTGAGAATTTTGTGCAGCATTTGCAGCACCAGAAATGTTTATATTCTGAATTGCCACTAGATGAAAGACAGAGAAGAAAAAGTTTAGACTGGCAAAAGCATGCAGTCAATATGCAAGTTAAGATAAAACATGCTTTACAAGAACAGTTAGGCAAAGAATGAGAGAGGAATCATATACTCTGGATTGATCTGTTTAATCACTTTAGACAATGGGCCTCCTTTACATCTTTGTTTTCCAAGAACTTCATTTTAAAGCTTTTAAAACAATGAAGGACTTTCAGGGTTTTTTTTTATTTATTCATATAATAGTGGGAAAATTGACCAAGATGTTTTAGTGGTTCAATAGAGTGAGACACTGCCCCAGTCTGCTGAAAATAGTTTCCAGAAGTATTTTTTTCCCTCAGCATTTTGCACTCCTCTTGTTTCATTAAAAAAAAAAAGAAAAAAAAAGAAGAAAAAAAAGATTTTTTCTTCCTTTTCCCTTTTTTTCCCTTTTGTAGAAATGCTTTTTCACTATCTCTACCCTATTCTGCACCATGCAGCATAAAACTGCAGATAATTTTGGCTTCAATCCTATTAAAATATCTATCTGTTCCTGATGCTTTTGTTCAAGCTTGTGCAAAGGAAATTTCTTCTACTTTAACTGCTCCAAAATAGGATTCAGCTACTAAGCAAAGAGGGTAGGGAAGCATTCCACATTTGCTTTGAGGACCTTGATGTGGAATATACATGGGCAATGGAAAACTAAGATTGCGATTGTGGCTTCATGGGGCTGGTGGTTTTCATGTGGGTTTCAAATCTTCTGTCACTTTGCAGACAGGCTGTAGCCTTTAAAACAGTCAGAAGGGCAGTGCCAGGCCACCCCTCTCTCCTTGCATGGAAATTATACCCGCCCTGGGGCTCCAGGAGATCTGGCAGTGCTGGTAGACTTGCTTGCCACATTTCTGTATCCAGGGATAGCAAGGTATGAAGGAAAGGAGGACCTCACAAACAGTAGAACATAATTGAATTAAAGCTCCTATGGAATATAGATAGTGACACTAATAACAGTACGCTAAAACATTAAGTATTTATAGGCTTTTTACCATGATCCCATTGACCTTTGCAAGTAAAAGATCAGGCCTGAAACAGTCATCTCTGGTACTGATATTCAGAAGAAACTTCCCAGAGCAGCCCAGCCTGTTGTTGGCTTTAACGACAACATTTTAGGAAAAGCTGAACTTCATTGTTCTCCAAGAGCCTCATCCAAAGTTCATAGACTTCATTCCTCTCCAGGGAAGACCACAAAAAACCCCCTAATAACCCTTAGTTTCACCTTTTTCTTACTGTTACAAAGGAGATCACTTTCCTTTTAGGTTTTGACCTACATGTTTTTCAGGTCTGTTTTAGTAGAGGAACAGAATAATTTTATAGAATGAATGAGTAGATGCAGACTATGGTAAAGCTGACTTCTAATCTCTTGGTCCCTGTTTGTGAATTAGCCCTGAAGGATGAATTTGCAAAGCAAATACAGAGCCACTAGATTGCTTATATAGTTTTAAAAGTTCTCATGGTAAGTGACAACTCAGGAGTGGAGCAGGGTAACAGAACAGGGAGGTCATGAGAGGTGCTCTTGTGAACATGAGAGCAGCAATAGCAGGTATATGGAGCTTGCTCTACACTGCTTGTGGCAATGTCTTCAAAGAACACATTGGTTTGAATGAAGAGATTTCTTACTAAAATTTGACATGATTCAGGGACAAAGAAGTCCTTGGAAAAAGCACAACTTTTAAACAAGTTTAACTGCTGAGTTCTGTGTTACTCATATGAGCAGGTTGCATATTTATATATTTATTGCTTAACATTTAGTGATATGAATCTACAGAATATACCATAGAATAAGATCATAAAGGTGTTGAATGACTGACTAACTAGCCATGGGCTGAGTTAGTGTACACTGGAGGAAGAGAAACTCTCAGAAACAATCTGTAACAGAATGGTACTGTTCCTGAGAAAAAAGCCCAAACAAACCCAAAGCCTTAGCCTTGCAATTGCTGCCATCTTCCAGTAGGTCTTTCACATTGTATAATGGTTGCATAATGTGTAAGTGATTCAGGTAAAGTTGATGGCTATTATGCTAAAAGAACAACATATTTCTCCCAAAGAGTGTAAACTGCCTGTGACCTGAACGTAAAAGCTTCTTCTTCAGTTCTGAGTGTTTACAGAAGTGTTGGAAAAATGTTTATCTATAACTTAAATTCCCCTTGAAATTTAAATTCCTCTTTTTCTCTTCAGATAGCTATGTTAAAGTTATTTCACTATTCCACTCCAGTAATATCTCATTAAAAAAAACCAAGAGCTCTGCCTTATTTGAAAACACAGTTTCAGGTTTTGTTGGTAAAAGCAAACTCCTTCCTGCCTTACAGGGAGGAAGTTGTTGTTAACTGCTTTTCCAGCCAAGATTCTTGAGTACTTGGCGGATGTTAATATTGCAGTTGGCTTTGCAAGCCGTGCATGCACTGGAGGTGCAGGCGCTTTCTGCTGGGGGCTGGTAGGACCGTGACCTGCCCTGCTCTCAGACAGGGTGCCTGGAGCAGTGGTGGCCACGGTTGTGGGGTCCTGTGTCACCTGGGCAGAGGCTGGCTCTGCAGCTGCTGGTTCAGTGCCATGGGGCTCATGGCTTGTATGGCTGCAGCAAGCACTGTCTTGTGGGTTCACGAAGGAATTGATCTTTTCATTTGTTTCAGCCTCCTGGAATATGAAAGAATTAATTAATTGTAGTTTAACAGTGCTTAGCTCTTCTGAGACTTACAGAATTTGATTTTTCATCTGAACATTTTCCCCTTTAAAGCCTATTTTCCTGATAGCATACACATTTTTCAACAACTAATATTTTCCTTTGCATAGCTATATATACTCTCTCTCCACGTGCTAAAGAAACACGTGCCCAAATGAAACCACACATACCATTTCACTCCAAATACTCTCCTGTGTACATCTGTTTCTCATTAGTTTTTCCCTCTGCTGTATACAAAGACTTTCCTTTAAGAAGCGTAATTACATTAGTTTGTATTACAGTATTATTTTTCACTTGGCTGTGTACCAATAGAGTGGCCAAATATTCCCTTAAAATGGCATGCGTTTTTTGAGGGCAGAATTTGGCCATTACATTTGTATACGCAGTGCATTCATGTGTATATTCACACACTAAAGACAGCAGCATTTTTAATCCACGTTTTATGCAAATATTGGAAAGAAAAGATTCTAAACATAGTGGATGTGCGTTGTGGTTTGTACCTGTAATTTCACAGCATGCAAGAAGTTCCCCTGTGTATGCACATGAGAAGGAAACAAGCACAGTACTTTCAAACTGATGGGACATCTGTGTCTGTCTGAGTTCTACATCTGACCCCAGATTCCTCTTCATTAGAATTTATTTAAACACTGTGGTTCTCTAAACACCTGCACAACTGTGACAACAAAATAAACTGCTTCTATTCACTGTTCCCAGTATAATAAATTTCTGAAATCCAACATGACTTATCTAGAATGAAAGAAAAAAAAAAATATGCAAAATTTGAGGTCACAGAATGGGTGGACAAGGGAAGAGCGACTGACGTCATCTCCCTCCGCATCTACACGTCTTTTAAATGCTTTCAGGGTTGGTGATTCCACCACTTCCCTGGGCAAGCTGTTCCAGTGTCTGACAACCCTTTCAGTCATAAAATCTGAACTTCCTCTGTTGCAACTTGAGTACAGGCCCAATGTAAAAATTGCCTTGATATTGTAAAAAAGTTATAGGAATTTAAAACAGAAGAAACTACACAAAGCATTCATGTTCTGTTCTCCACAATTTGGAAAACATATGAAGTGAATGACTTTCTGATCCTCAAGGTAGACTGTAAAACACCAAGGAAGATGGGACCCCTGTAGGTATAAACAGAGGCACCCTCCTCCCGCCCCTGCAAATAACTAAAGGTGTCTTCTTAACCTCCAGGTTCACAGAACTCTTCTCAGAAGCTTTAATGTCCAAGGTCACCATTATCCTGTTGCAAAAATCCCTCCCATACATTTGTCCTGACATGATTGTCACCTTGTTTCTGCTGAAAACTCTTGAAAGGTGCTGTGTAAGCAAAGGTGACTCTTACTTGGTAACAGCTATATATACAGAGGTTATCTTAAGTTATTTTTCACTTTTTTTTTTTTTTTTTTCCTTTCCAGATTAAGTTCACATAAGGTATCATGGCTAGTCTTAGAAGTGACATAATTTGATGTTAACACAAGGCAGTCTCAGAGGCACATTAACAGGCTTGAGAGGTGGATCCATGTCAACTTCCTGAAGTTCAAGAAGGCCATGTGGAAGTTCCTACACCTCATTAGGGGAAATCCCAAGTACAAATACAGTCTAGGAAGAGAATGGATTAAGAACAGCCTTGAGGAAAAGGACTTTTGGGTGTTGATTGCTGAGAAGATCAACAACATGAACCAGCAATGTGTGCTTGCAGGCCAGAAAGCCAACTGTATCACACCCACAGAATCACACACAGAACCATCCTGGTTGGAAAAGACCTTGAACATCATCAAGTCCAACTGTAACCTAAATCCACCAACCATAACCTAATCTACTCATTCAGTGCTTAAATCATGTCCCTAAGCACCACATTTATATTTCTTTTAAACACTTCCAGGGATGGTGACTCCCCCACCTCCCTGGGCAGCCTGTCCCTCTGTCCAACCACTCTTTCGGTAAAGAAATTCTTTCTAATATCCAGTCTAAACCTCCCCTGGTGCAGCTTCAGGCCATTTCCTCTCATCCTGTCATTATTCACTTGAGAGAAGAGGCCACCTCCCACCTTGCTACAACCTCCTCTCAGGTAGTTGTAGAGAGCAATGAGGTCTCCCCTCATTCTCTTCTTCTTCAAAATAAACAATCCAAATACCCTGGGCTGCATCAAAAGAAGTGTGGCCAGCAGGTTGAGGGAGGTGATTTTACCCTTGTCTGCTCTCATGAGACCCCACCTGGAGTACTGTGTCCAGTTCTGGAGCATGCAGCACAGGAAGGACATGGACCTGTTGGAGAGAATCAGAGAAGGGCAGTAAAGATGATGAAAAGGCTGGAGCACCTCTCTTATGAAGACAGGTTGAGAGAGTTGGCATTGTTCACCCTGAAGACCTGGGGAGACCTTATAGTGGCTTTCCAGTACCTGAAGAGACTACAGGAAAGCTGAGGAGGGGCTTTTTACAAGTGCTTGTAGTGATAGGATGAGGGGGAATGGCTTTAAAGTGGAAGAGGGTAGATTTAGGTTAGACATTAGGAAAAAATTCTTCACTGTGAGGGTGGTGAGATACTGGAACAGGTTTCCCAGGGAAATTGTGGATGCCTCCTCCCTGGAAGTGTTCACAGGCAGGTTGGATGGGGCTTGAGCAATCTTATATAGTGGGAGTTGTCCCTGCCTATGGCAGGGAGGTTGGAATCTGATGATCTTTAAGGTCCCTTCCAACCTTAAACTATTCTGTGATTCTATGATGAATAGCTACGAATTAAGGAAGGTGTCCAATGGATCACCTGGAACAAAAAAATCAGATTACTATTTGAGGCAATAACATTAAATATCAAAATCCACTTGCAGCTTACCAATTCCAGCAAATCTTTTGGACTTTGCAAGCCTTGTATGGAAAAAACAGAAAAAAAATTACTTTATATTTATACACGTGAATTTTAGTGTACAGGTGTTCATATCCAATTCACTTATGTTAACATTTCTGCAGAATTTTGCTGGTGATCTTTTGCTTGTCTCCTCTTCATACATATTGATCATTGATGCTTCCGTAACTCACTAAGCATGTAACCTGCAAGTTCTGATTTACAACATAATGATATAATATATAATCCTCAACTGCACAAATCCATAATTTTGACTGAAACATCCTTTATTCACCCGTGTACCTAGACCAGTGCCAATGCTTGTGTTACACATTTGTGTTCTGCAAACCTTGTATGATCTTTAAGCCCTGGATTATGCTCCAAATGGCTAGGTACTGAGAGCTGTACTGGGGGAGGAAGGGTACTGGGGACCACATTGTGCCCTCCTAGTCCTTATCCCCATGGGGCTGTGTCTGCTTGACAGCTCCCTCCTGAGCTACACCACAGATGGGAGAGGAGATCTCCTGGGGCCATTGCTGCAAGTTTTGGGAACTTTGCATAAATCTCAGCAAGGCCTCTGTTGCCTGGCCTGGTTTTGAAGAAGGCTCTGACCACAGGATGACTCAAGCTTTCGCAGTCACTGGGAAACAGCCCAGGAAAAAGTGGAGAGAACAAGGAAGCTGATCCCCATTTACTGCATCCCTGACCCATCCCAGATGAAAGAAGGAATTACGAGCAGACACATGGGTTAAAGACAGTTAGAGCACAGCATAACTTTTCCCACCATTGCCATGACTTGACTTAGATGTCAAGAAACAGGAAAAGAAGTTACAGGATGTAATTATGCTTGCCCTCCAGTCTCCTGGGACATAATGAGGGAAGTCGTGCTGCCTGAGTAATACAAAAAGAGTGGAAGAAGACAAAAATATGCCCGAAGCATAATTATTCAAAAAGCCCCAACCTTTATGAAATAATGACTTGGCCTTTAAGCAGAAAAGTCAGGAGGTTTTTGATCTAAAACTTAATTAAGAATATGATACGGTAAGTAGCAGTGTCAGAACGCATAATAGTAGTGTGTGATTAAATTCACTGATTATTGGATCACCTCCATAATTTATTATAACAATGTTGCTGGTACATAAAATGTGGAAAAAACTGAAAAAGGTACCTTTAGAAATGTTTTCCTTGAGGCAATTCTTTAAGTTTTCCTACAAACTCTAAGGACTTGATTATCATGTATGTTTGGATCTGTATTTTCATGAAACCAAATAGAACACTTTCTTATAAACAGCCTAATGCAGATTTTGAACATACTCCATTTCAAGGGTTCTCTGCTAACCAGGAAATAATTTGAATACCATTTATTTAATGTCAGTTCATGGTCTTCTTTCAAGAAGAAATTTGAATTTGATAATGAAATTATTTATTCTTTTGGGTTGGGATGTTCTGCTTAGATCAAATTGATGTGTTATTTGAGGATTGTTAACTGTATAAAAAAGAACACTCTTACCAACACGACACAAGTGCAAAAATCATATTTAATAATCACTATGTATTTCTGCAAGAAAACAAATATTTCTTTAAAAAAATCTGGTGAACTAGGGATGAATTTGCCAGTGTTTTCGGGGTGACTTATAATCTCTGTCTTCAGCAGAAAATTGTTGCTTGTGAAAGTAAGCACATAAAAATTCAAAGCAGGATATTTTTTCAGTCATCTGAAGACTTAATCCTTAAATCAAATAATGTTTTTATAACCACTGAACAGAATAAACTGTTTAAGTTCCAAATGACGTTACAGCCTTTAGTTAAAAAATGTTAGTGTTTTTTATTTTCAGAATACATGAAGCAGCAACATAATTTCAAACTAGTTCTTAACCTGCTTTACATAATTTTAATATTTTGGTAAATGATGCCATAAACCCATTAAAAAGTACAGTAAAAAACTAATGTCATGTAATCTCAGTAATGGCAACATTAAATACAAATTTAATGTGTTCTGAAAGATAGAAGCTCATGAAAAACAAGTCCACATAATGAATTTTCAGAATTTTAAGTGGGCTCTTGACATGCAGAAGCTGTGGAGTCTTCTAGGGAATTAGTCATTAGCCTGCAGTCTAATGTAGTTTTACATAAATGTTTAAGAATTTTGCTGACTGTGCGTGCAAGTCCTCATTTGTTTTGCTGAGTAAAGATATGAGATGTTAGCAGATTCAGCATTTGCTTAAAACGTGCTGACTTAGAAATCTAAAAGTTTTTGAACAAAGAGCATTCCTAGTTATAAAAAAGATACAAGACAACCACATAGCTTTTTACACATGGAAACATAAGAAAACAGTAATATAGCCCTGTTAAAGAAGCAATTAAACTATGCTTAAAAGGTAGTGAAGACGAACACAAGAATGGACTAAACTCGGTGTGCTGAGAAACTTCAGAGAAAGCAAGATGAAAGAAGTACATGGATTTTCTTAAATATTAGTTGGATGAGCAAATAAGGAGAGAAGCACTGCTAGACCTCGTACTGATAAACAAGAAGGGACTAGTTGAGGATGTGTAGGTAGGGGGAAGCCTTGGCTGTAGGAAGGTTTATTTAAGTAAATTGGAGGAAGAAGGAAGTCTAAAGGGAATGTGGGCCCGTTGCTGAAAGAAGCTGGTGTCCTAGTGACAGAGGATACAGAGAAAGAAGAGTTTCTGAATGCTTTCTTTGCCTCTGTCTTCACTGTTACTGCTGACCCTCAGGACACCCACACCACCAAGGCCACAGAGGAAGTCTGGCAAAAGGAAGACTTTGTCTCAGTTGAAGAGGATTGGGTTAGGGATCAATTAGGTAAACTGAACATTCAGAAATCTATGGGCCCTGTCAGAATGCGCCCACAGATGCTGAGTGAGCTGGCAGAAGTCATTGCTAGGACACTCTCCATCAGGAGAGGGGCTTGAAGACTGGAGGAAAATAAGAATCACCCTGTTCTTCAAGAATGCAAGAACAAGGACGTGGGTAACTATAGGCCAGTCAGCCTTAACTCCATCCCTGGAAAGGTGATGGAACAGCTTATTCTTAGTGCCATCTCAAAGCATGTTGAGAAAAGGAAGGTTATAAGGAGCAGTCAGCATGGATTCACCAAGGAGAAATCATGCTTGACCAATCTGGTAGCCTTTCATGATGGCATAACTAGATGGATAGATGAAGGAAGGGCAGTTGACATTGTCTACCTTGGCCTTAGCAAGGCTTTCCACAACATCTCCCATGACACCTTCACAACCAAACTTGAGAAGTGTGAACTGTATGATTGGGTAGTGAGATGGATTGGGAACTGGCTGAAGGACGGAGCCCAGAGAGTTGTGGTCAGTGGGACTGAGACCAGCTGGTGGCTTCTGAGTAGGGTTGTCCCCCAAGGGTGAGTACTGGGTCCAGTCCTGTTCAATATATTCATCAGTGACTGGATGAAGGGATAGAGAGCATCATTAGCAAGTTCATGGATGATACAAAACTGGGAGTGGTCACTGACATGCCAGAAGGCTGTGCTGCCATCCAGCATAACCTGGACAGGTTGGAGAGCTGGTTGGGGAGAAACCTGACCAAGTTCAATAAGGGCAAGTATAGAGTACTCCATCTAAGAAACAACAATCCCATATACCAGTATAGGTTAGGAGCTGACCTGCTGGAAAGCAGTTCTGGGGAAAAAGACCTGGGAGTCATAATGGACGACAGGCTGACAATGAGCTAAAAATGTGCACTCACAGCCAAGAGGGCCAATGCCATCATGAAGTGTATTAAGGAGAGTTTGACCAGCAATATGAGGCAGGTTTTCCTCCCGCTCTACTACGCCCTGGTGAGGCTTCATCTGGAGTGCTGTGTACAGTTCCGGGCTTCCCAGTACAAGAAGGACAAGGAGCTACTGGAAAGAGGGTCACTAACATGATTAAGGTCTGGAGCATCTGCCCTATGAGGAAAGGCTAAGAGAGCTGCAACTGTTTTGCTTAGAGAAAAGGAGGCTGAGGGGGGGTTCTCATGTTTATAAATATACAAGCAGTATTCGGTAGGATTTCTGTATGTGGTCCAAGTCAGCATCAGCAGATAGTGAGAGTACAAAATGAAGGGGTTCAGGGATTTCTACTCTAAAGGTAGACCTTACCAGCTGGCCCTCAGGAGCTGTGTTTTTTGCTCAGACTTGAATTAATTCATTGATTTGCAGGCTACTGGGAACTCCTCTGAGTAGGCAGGTAGAGAGTTTGCTGTTACTAGGCCACTTCCTGGCTTCAGGATGACAAAAGCAGGTCCTTCTGCAGATTGGTTTTCATTGTCCCCAGAGGGTGAATCTGCTAAGAAAGGCCTAAAGCCCATTTTCCCATTTATTTTTTTACTTCCTCTGGGCATGATATACCCTCAGCATATCTCAGAAGCAAAACTCCTGTGTGTTCCTGTGTATATCTGGGGAGGAGGGGTAGGTATAAGAATGTATATGGACTCTGGCAAATAAATGTAGAGGTTGTGCAAGACCAAGTAACCAGATGCTGGCTGTCAGGCAAAACGTGGAAGATCAGAGCCTTCTTGAGCATGTAAGTGCTCTCCAGCAGCTCCTCCTTCTGCAGTGTCTGCATTTCCTGGAGAGCATTAGGTACCCCTTGTAGTCACAAGTAGTGGAGACATGCTCCACATCAGAGACATGACTGTTCTACACAGAAATTGAGTACATAGAGGTCTGGGACATTGCAACACAGGCACACATGCTTGACTCATTAGCAATTTTTCATTTTACTGCCAGTGAGTTTAGAAGTAGGGAGCTATGCCCTGAATGGGTGATTTCTCACACAGGAAACACAGAGAAGCTTCTTCCTTTGTGCTGCTGGTCTTCTGTTTTCTTTCACAGGTAATTATCTGAATGCACATACCTGTACCACACAGGAGTGAAGCGCTCAGCTAAAAGCTGAAAGAGCTGTCCAAGCAAGGCTGCATGACAAAAAGCAACAAGGGTTATGCAGTAGTGTTTAATCTTGGTGATGCCTGTTTGTAGGTGGCTTGTGAGTGTTAGCTTAAAGTAATCAAGTATTTGAAGGTGTCAGCATTACAATCTTCTATTACTGTCCTCCAGTAGTGAAGTGTCCCTGCTAGGTCACCAGGCCAGTGTTGCTGATGTGTGTTGCTCTATCCAGTAGGAAGATGCAGCAAACTGTATGGCTGTCCCTCCAGCTGGAGAAGCTGTACTCTGAAAAGCCCCAGGTACATTCCCTACCTACAGATGGGACATGAAATGAGTCTGATTTTTGGATGGCTTTCTCTTCTAGTTCTTCTCTGACATCGCTGTTGACAATGGACTTCTGCTCTTCTGCTGCACAACTGGCACTGCAGCTGGTCATGCTCCTGACATGAGGATTTCGTATTTATGGCACTAGAGTGGCAAAGGGCTGGGTGGGCTGCTGCAAAAACACCATGCAGGGCTGGTCAATAAGGTGTTTATTTTAAGAAAGAGAATATTTTATTTTAGGATTTTGTAATTTTTTTTTTAACCCTCTTGCTTATTAAAAATAACTTTTAATTTGATTTTTTAAAAAGTCAATTTAAAAATTGTCAGGATGAAAATGAAACCTTTTGTCTAATCCAAAAGTATTTTTTAAAGCCTTTTCTTAGACATTTTGAAAGTTTTTGTTTTGGTCCAACTGAAAACAATTTTATATGTATTTTCTCAGAACTGCCAGTGAATCCAGAAGTACACAGATGTGTCAGAGCTTTGTATTTTTAAATAGTGGATATATGCTTGAAACAGAAACAAAATTAGCATCTAATAAGATACATGGAAATAAAAATCTCAAAGTATTAAAATTCAGTGAATACCTGTATACTTCACAAAGCATTTAAACAATTGTGAGCTTGTGTTCTGGAGCACTATGGGGCCAGAGAGCAGCAGAACTGCATGTCCTTCCAGTTGCTTTAATGGGAAAGGAAAACGGAATGCATTCTATTGCCTTTATACTGATCTGCATCCTATTCTTCTCTTGCATTGTCTAAGGAAAATAAATAACTCCCCCAAAACCAAAGCACAGCTAGGATGAGCATAAAAAAAGACAATGTTCTGTCAATTAGAAAATACTTCTCTTCTTAACTACTTGCAGACACATTAATAGATCGTCAAATCTAAACACGGCATTTTCAACTTGAGACATTCATCAGTGATGCAAATGGAGGAGCTACTCAGTTGCTTCTGGATGTCAGTATTACAGACTGCAGTATTTCGTATGTCTTCATTGCTTAGAGTTTTATTTTTCTTAGTTTTTTTTTTTTGTTTGTTTGTTTTAAACAAGATGGCTATTTTTCTGTAGGTAATTTACTTTTAGGAGGTAAGCAATTCTCTTCAAATAAAAGAATAGAAGATAGGGCTAGCTGGTAATTCTGTGGCATTGGCACACCACAGATGTCCTTTTTATTGTCTCCTCAAGGTGAGGCACAATAGTCTTACTCACTACAACAGACAACTGAAGCTCCCCATCATTGTCTTGCTGAAAACTAGCAAATACTTTGTGCAATGTTTATATTTAAACCTTCTATCCTTTATTCTTGCCATTTTTATATGTTGCTTCACTTTTGTTATGTTATTCAAGAAATAATTTACTAAGCACCTCGTAGACTTATATGTATGAATGTGTGTCATATACTGCATTGGTAATGTGGATTTAGGCATTCATAAGTTCTCCATAAAGCAATGTAAAAACAGATTAGTTTATTAGCTTAAACAAAACTGCACATTAGACATGATATTTTTTCTGCTTTACCTGCAAGTTGGAATTTTTGAAACATTTTCTACAAATCTTTTTACAAACAGGTTGTAGGGGGACTTGAAAAATATATTTCAACCTGACTATAACTTTAATAAATATCTCTTTAGTAAAGTTTTTGGCTACTCATGGTAAAGATTTGGCATTTTTTGTAACAGAAGAGAAAATTATCTTTATTTGTAGAAAGTTATTCATCATATCCCACACTTGTAAAACTTTCCACAGCATCTTCATTTGGATGATGTTTTAACCAAGATGAACACTATTGTGGATAAATGAGCTGCCCATTCACTCATAAAGCCATCTCCATTGTATTGCATCTTGATGTTTTCTGAAACCATCAGTGACTCTCTTGTCTTATACTGGTTTGGTGTGGTCTTGACAGGGTAGGTTTTGGCTATTTATAGATGAAACAAGTATTTTTTGATGTAAAATCTTTTCTCTTCTGCAATATCCAGCAATTCTCTCACTGAGCACATGAGAAAAGTTAACAGTATTTTTTAAAGTAACACCTAGTTGCCTCACCAGTTACCAGTTGTACTCAACTATCATAATTTTTGACCAAGAAGCAAGAAATTTAAGATTAAGGATATCTGGGAGGCTGGGTTTGTAGTTATGATGCTGAGCTCCAGAGATATGTGTTTAGTTCCTTAATTTCTCATGTATTTCATATATGATTTTGAGTAAATTATTTTCTGTGTAAGTCATCATCATACTATGCCACACCAGTAGGACTGTATACTAATTACTTTGAATCTTCAGCTGGTTAAATTATCCCACTGCAGATATATATATTCTGGACTGCTTTATGCAACGCAAACATGTTCCTTGTTTGTAATTTCTTTCTGTAAAATGTGGAGATCACTATTGCTCTGCCTCTCACAGGCTCCCTAACACCTGTATGATCTCAACACCAGAAGATCACTGGTGCTTAGTCACCAGTAATCAGAGAGTATACATACTGTCTGCATTTTGCTACTGGGAGCTGGAACACAAACACTTTTTAAACTAGCTACTAACAAGAAGATTTTTCTGTTTTGATGGTCCTCCAGTGACCTTCTCTTCACCCAGCCAAAATGGAGATCTGCCTATGGGCTTGGTCACTGGAAACCAGAAGTAGAAGAGAGAAAAGGACCTGGGCCAGCCTCAGAGAAAGTTCCTTCTCAGGGCTGATGAAGGATTAATGTTGACTTAAGAGAAAGAAATGTCTAAAGCCTTCCTTCTTGTGTTGTTATTTGGATTTAAATCTATCCTCTTAATTTGGAGTAGGAGGAACACCAGCTTTTTGGGATATTTAAGCAGATTGAGACTGGCTCTTAGCGTGGTACACAACCAATTTTTCTTTGCTGGCGCTCACTAAGTACATGCTAGTCATGATGCCAGCATTTTATCCTTTCTGCAAAATGAGGCAATTTATAACATATGGAAAAACGTGTTTTTTTGTTCTAGAACACTGTAAGAGTGCTAACACTAAATTGCTCCGATTTGCTTAAGCATGTGGCTCTGACTCAGTCCAAATATTGACAGTGACAAAGCCACAATAATCTGCAGGCTTTGTTCTGAGCAGAGGGAATCCCACTCATTTGACTCTACAATGTAGTGCCACTGGACTCCAGGGCACATGGAGAAAACATGATACCCAGTCCTAATGTCATATAATTGCAGAAGTTTTGTAGTCAGATGGGGCATACTAGTTTGACAGGGAGTTGGGGGGAAAAAATGCTAATTTGTTTTCAAAATTCAGACTGCTGCTCATATCGAGCCTCCTTATCAACACTTATAGATAGATAGATAGATAGATAGATAGATAGATAGTGTTTACTCCAAAAAATCGAAGTCCTCCTTTCCCAGTGGAAAAACCCCACAATGATAAAATAAAAAAATAGATTGTTTCTGTGCTGTTACTGGAACAGGAGTGGCGTATTTTATGCATTCGGCACAAGGAACGAACTACGAGTCTCATTGTTGTCGTATTTTGGTTGCACTGTGCCTTGCATGTAACTGTGTCCAGGGGCAACCTGCTTCTGCAGTCTTGTTGCTAGCCAAGTGCCTGGTATCTGCTTATGGAGTATTTTCAGAGTTGTCTTTATATGAAGGCATATGATGCAAAACTTCGATTTTTTTTTAATAATGGAAAGTGGATGACTGGTAATTTTCATACTCTGATACCTGCCATAAGCAAGTGATACTTGGTATTTCATCACATCCTGGGATGAAAGTGTTGCTGGCATTTCATAGAATCACAGAATCACAGAATCTTAGGGGCTGGAAGGGACATTGAAAGATCATCTAGTCCAACCCCCCTACCAGAGCAGAATCACCTAGAACACATCACACAGGAATGCACCCAGGCAGGTTTTGAATGTCTCCAGTGAGGGAGACTCCACAACCTCTCTGGGCAGCCTGTTCCAGTGCTTCCAGATGTGGCCTCACCAATGCAGAATAGAGGGGGAGGAGAACCTCTCTTGACCTACTAACCCCACTCTTTCTAATGCACCCCAGGATGCCATTGGCCTTCTGGGCCACAAGGGCACATTGCTGGCTCATGGTCATCCTCCTGTCCACCAGGCCCCCCAGGCCCCTTTCTCCTACACTACTCTCCAGCAGGTCAGCCCCCAACCTGTACTGGTACATGGGGTTGTTCTTCCCCAGATGCAAGACTCTACACTTGCCCTTGAGGAATTTCATCAAGTTTCTCCCTGCCCAACTCTTCAGCCTGTCTAGGTCTCACTGAATGGCAGCACAGCCTTCTGGTGTGTCAGCCACTCCTCCCAGTTTAGTGTCGTCAGCAAACTTGCTGAGGGCACACTCTGTTCCCTCATCCAGCTTGCTGATGAAAATATTAACAGTACTGGTCCCAGTACTGACCCCTGAGGGACTCCACTAGTCACTGACCTCCAACTAGATTCTTTCCCATTGGCCACAACTTTCTGACTTTTTCCTTTCAACCAGTGCCTACAGTTTATATCTAACCTATATAAACAACAGTGATTTAGTTTTTCCTCTGATGTGAAGAAATATTGCACTAAACAAAAAAATGTGTTTCAAAATACATTAATATTGGGAACTATCTTTGAGTCAGTTTTGTCAGAGAGGCATGAGTCATCGCAAGAAGGCCACAACACTTTAGCCATTTGAATAAAACTCTCTTATTTAATCTTTTGAGATGTTCTGCTTACAAGTAATTGAGGCAATACACTCATAAATAACTATTTACTGATAGTTCTAGGACTATGGGTTATAATTTTAAAAGAAAGATAAATTTTGACTGTCAACACCTGTTCAATTAGAGTGGAAGTTAGGCAACCAGTTGGTTTGTTCCCATTGGAAAGCTGAGTTATACTCTTCATGTTCAAATGCCTCTGAATCACTTGTCCCCCATCCACTGCTCAATAACAGTAGAAAACATTAAGTCAATATTCTTCCTGGCTCAGTGGTCAAGATTTCTCCTATCTGCTTCCGTTCCACTCATCCAAGTGTTTTCTTATTTTCTTTCTTTTTCATTTATGAAAAGTAACTTCAAAAAATGGGGTGGACAGCATGGATTTTGCAAAGGTAAATTTTAACAGGGAACTCTATCAAGTGGT